TATAGGTAGATATGGGCCCGTAGACTATTGCTAGTATGTTTTGAAGGCCCAGGAGTGATTCTCACCGAGTTTTTAGTCGTTTTGTACGCGGATCACGTGAGATTTCACTCGTGTCATCCCTATATAGAGCGTCTACCGACGCTCTGATTATTATGATGACACGGAAATCGCGAAATCGCGTAAGTGCGAATTCTCTGGTGGGGAACTGGAGGCACGTAGAAGTCTTGGGCATATGTATAGCTAGGTATTGGCCCTCTAGACTATTGCTAGTGATTTTGAAGCCATGGTGAGTCATTCTCGCTGAGTTTTGAGGCGTTTTGTACGCGGATCACGTGAGATTTCACTCGTGTCATCCCTATATAGAGCGTCTACCGACGCTCTGATACTGACACCACTTCAGGTTTTAAAGATTGAATTGGCCAGTCTCGTCATGTTTGGTGGTTTGTGTCCGTAAAACCTCCCTAGGGCCGGTAGCGACACGAAACTTACGAAGAGTTTCATTATTGACCTCAATTATTGTTAAATATCACACTCAAGTACAATTATTCAGGACACCACTTACTTCTTGTACATTTCATATTCCTACACTTTTAGCTATAATATACCTAGAAATGTCTTTCGTTTCCACTGCACTAATGTGGGATGTTCAATAACCAGTAACACTGAAGTTACACAGGGGGAAAGAAAGGTTTAGGTTTAGTAAGAGGAGGTTTAGTAGGAGGAGCAGGTTCAGCACCACTTCCATGAGGAATGACAATTTCTGGAGTTGGAGTTGGAGTTGGACGATACTTAGCCCAAGATGCTGTAGGCGTGGTTGAGCTTGTGCTGACAGGAGTGGCCGACGGACAGGTTGTAGCAGGAGGAGTTGGCTCGCCACCATCTGTGTCTGTGCACTCCTCAATGAGTGGCAGGCGTCCACTGCCAGGTAGTGTCCAAGTGTAGGTGAGAGGACTCCATGTCCTTCGACTTCCCCAAGAAAACTGGATTTAGGAATCTTGGACAATAAACAACATGTCTGCCCACAAGAACAACTTACAGTCCAGGTTCGCAGTTGGTAGAAAGCTCCCAGTGTTATGCTGGTTGGTGACCAGCCGTGGTCTGCTCCAAGATATATCTCCACAAACCATGGATTTTGAGGTCGACAGACAGCAACTGATGCCCAGGCTGAGATATTGTAGGTGATAGTCCCAGTTAGAAATATCCCAACCTGTGCCACCTGAGGATTGATTACATGAAAATATGAAATTATTGTTTCTCTATACTGCTTACAAAAATTGAGGCAGAAGCACTGGCGTCTACAGTAGCTGTGACAAATGGAGTGAAGGAGACCGTTCCCTTGATACTGCCACTTTCACCCACTTCCAGCCCAGCAAAAACCTGACCCCCAACGTGTACTTGCAAACTAGCAGAGAGAGTTACTGGTACAATGTAAACAATGAATGTGTACGATACAGAGAATAGTGTGAGGTCATATTGTGGTAGCTGGTAAGTGTAACTCAGAGGCAAGTCAACATCCAATAGAACCAATCCAACGAATTTAATGTAGGCTTTTACTTTTATTATGCCATTATGTTTCAAGACACATCCAAGAATTTTGACAGCGTCAGCTTCCCATCCCAAAAGGTGACCACGAACGACAGCCTTTCCCAGTGCTTTTAAGTCACAGTTGCATTTATTACCACCAGCAAATAGCCCAACTCCAGACTTGAGGTATACTTTAAGATCTCCCTCGTCTTTGCCAACCGTCTCACTCCACAGACAGCTTTGGTGAGAGGGAAAGTTTCTCACATCAGCTTGCCTTTCCGATAGAGGACAGATGAAGTCATACTCTGAGGAGGGGTCGTCCCAAATAGTACTTGTGTCTCGTTTTAGTCTGGCTTCTTCAGCTCTACTGCTAACAATGAGGTCAACTAGAGCTAGACTAGAATGTGTTCCTACAGCTCTAAGAAAGTACATAAGTTCATCTTGAAGGTAGTAGTTACCAAGGTTAATGGTTATGTTTGCCAAGGACTCAATAAGCTCTTGGTCAAGTGGCATCTCTCTATTGTACTCATATCCATCACGTAAAGCATGAATGATTGCTTCTACCATGCTGTCTGAACTATCGTGTAACATGTCTAGTAGATGCTGCTGGGTGTCGGGTCTGGCAGTAAAGAACCTCAATGCTGTAACTGCAGTCACTCTCACGTCTTCATCTTCATGCCACAGGTACTGAACTATATGCTCAACTGCTAGCGATGACTTCGTATTTCCCAGCGCATGCAAGACATGGATTACACTGTGTGTGCTTTCAGATGTGACGGGAGGAAGTAAAGCAGTCATAAATGATACCATCCTTTCCTTTTGAGTGGAAGGAGCATTAGCAACAATGGCACCGTATGCTAGAAGAAGAGTAGAAGATTCATTGCCACTCTGCGAAATCATTTCTTCCAAAGTCTGAATCACATGAGGACTGGGTGTTGACAGTAATGATATCGCCAGAATTATCGACTGCTTTTCTAATTCAGATACAGCCTCTCCTAGTAACCTCTCCATCAATGCCTGTAGGAATGTTGAAGTACACACCTATTGCCGTATACATTAGCAACTTCACTTACATTTTCAGCCCTGGTGCTGCCTTCAGAACTGAGTAGAGAGTAGATTGCCACTCTCTGGGTCATATCCTCTTCAGATTGTATCTTAGTTTTAAAATTTTGATGATAGATCATGAATAAGACTTAATGAAAGTAAAGTGTTACCTTTCTTAGGTAATAAAGGACAGTGTCAGTGACAGACACACCCATTGCTCCATACTTACGCTCCAACACCATCACTTGTCCCAGGGCCTTGACTGCATTATAAGTGTTAGCCTCAATCATTGACATATTATTCTAAGCACAGCACATTACAATTTTTTCCACTGTTTATATTCTGAAGAGCTGTAAGGACTTGCTGGGGTGTTTTCAGATCACGGCGTAAAGTTTCTAGCTTCTCGAGCTCCATCTTCCCTGAAATTAATGTCTGTATATAACAGGGACATTTCAAAAGTACATTATCACTTACTCTCATCAAAGGTGGCCATGAGGTTTTCCTCTACTGAATAGCTACCGTCGACACTTTTTTGGATGGCCCTTCTTTTCCGCGAAAATCGTGCAGAAATCCTGCAGAGTTTCAGCTCCATACTGAAAGACCCATGGGCAGTAAACGCATTTGAAAACTCATCGCTCCCTTCAAGTCTGCTGGTTGATGATGAGTCTATGGAGAGGTGCAATGTTCCATTGGATTTGATCAGTCTTCCGTCTTTGTACTCAATGTCTTCTTCTTCATGAAGTTTGACATCTCGGGTAGGAATGTGCATTGGGAACTCGATGATATCTTCACTGTCGATGGTTCTACGCATTTTCCTCACTTCGTCTACCGAATCTGGATAACTGAAGAACATTGTTGTATATATAAATCAAAAGACAGCAAATCTGTGTGAATGAAATTACCTGTAATGAGAGATGTGTTTGGACTGCGGGTCAATTTCAGTTTCTTCAGTTGTCCCTCTAAGGTTGGCTTGGAAAGCAGAAGCAATGCCTTTCTTGATATTAACTACTTCGACTTCTTCGGTTGTCGAGTGGAAAACTGACACCACCTGACCAAAAGTGGTCTGAACAAAGCAGAACCATCCAGAGAGCCGCTCAAGTGCATACTCCCTCATCAAACTGCATGAACATTATATGCTCGTCTACAATATAATAAATTTTTAATAGAAAAGACTACAGTATATACTGGGAGCACAGTTGGCTGCATTTCACAGCCTTTGCCGTGATAGAGTTAATTACCATCGTCAATACCAGGACACTCGAGACTTTGACTCAATGTGCAATGTCAATTTGATTGATAAAAATGAAAAACACTGAAGTGCAAACCCTTTGGCGCACTGCGGTACCGGTAATTGATGGGTTGGGCCAAAAGTATGGTTTACTCGTGGTCTAGCTCACGGAGAGCAGGCCGGCTAGCTATAGCACGAGGAAGTCGATACACCACTCCATTAGTTGTGACTTCGTTAGCCTCCAAGGTACACAGAGCGAGCGGATCATGTCGTGGTATGCATAGCGCCAGAATTAAACAGCCAACCCTCTCTGCGCATGCTCGCCGAGTGTTAATGAAGTGTTAGATTTACTTACGTTTCTCTGTTGTCTGCTTCAGTTGTCTGGTTGCCTCTGAAGGTAAGGATACTTCCACCCACATCTGATACTGACATACAGTATCGTGTGGCACTCAGAGATCCATATGTACCAGCTATGAGAAACAACACAATAGTAAAAACAAGGTAGCGGATCGACCGCGCAATCAATCGCGGGGGTGAATAAATGGACAATCTCTGTGTCACGCGATAATTACATGCGCGCGAACAGTGGCGATGGCTAGGCTGCGGATGAAACTGAAGTGCAAACCCTCGGGAACTGCGCATGCGCGACACAGCTAATATTGATGGCTGGGCTATTAGTATGCGTTTCGTGGTCTCCACGCTTGTAGCTCGCGGAGAGTCTGACACGGGCTAGTTACACAAGTAGATAGCAGCGCAGTGCGATTATGCATATTCGCTTTTTTGCTTGTTTTCACGGCATATCTCTCGAACGCAGTCGTTTCAGGAAAATCGCTCCTTCATTTTCAGGCTCGCGTAGTTCTGTAGCCTCTGGTATCGCTAATATGCCGCCTCGTAGCCTGTAGTGCCAGAATAAGCGTCGACAGACAGACAGAGACACTGACAAACCAACTAATGTAACCCTCTCTGCTCCGATGGTTATTAGTTGCTAATGCACTACTTTCACTAAGTATAGCTTACAGCATTTAGCGACAATAAGGAGTCATGCCGATCAAATTATTATATCACCCCTCATAGGCACATGGTTAGGCATGCACTCCGTGTAATGGAGTATTGCGCGCGGTATAATTATACCAATGGGTTGAGCCCATTATGCTATTTTTTTACCCATTATTCTATTCCTCAATTCTCGTAAATCTTCCCTATTATTCCTCCCCGCTGCCCCTATTATTCCCTTAGAGCTGGCACATGCGCTAAACCCTTGCGCAATAGGGAACATTGCTGAGTCTGCACTTTTGTTCGCGCGCAGTTTTGCCGTCTCTAGCCTTCCGGGGGAGTGATGCGCTTCATTTTCCCGATATTTTTGCAGTGAAGATATCCAGGGTAAGTTCTCCATCTTTACGCAAAACCGCGGAAGGGCTGAAGCTCCGGCGGAAGATCGCGCGAACGCCAATTCCGACCATTATTCCCAGAATTATGCCATGCATTTTCTGGGCAGCCCTAGCTACCCGCATCTGGAAGATCTAGCTAGTTAGCTAGCCATAGTATGTTCAAGTTGAGAATGCACTTTGCCATACATTGAAAAGGAGGATTTTTCAAAACTATGTATTGGCCAAACCAAGACTAAAGAAACAGGACCATTAAGAAGTACAAAATGGCACCAAGAAATGTGCAAGGGTAAGTCATTCGAGAAAATCAACATGCATTCTCAACGTGAATGGACTATAGATATGCAGTTAGCTCAGCTAATGATACTTACTTGATCGCACATGATCTGTACAAGTGGTGCTCATCGTCAGTGGCTGATCATTCTCCTTGAACTGAATCATCCTCGAACGAGTACACATACTCGCAGACTCTGTTATCCTGCAAAGGGAAAATAGAAGCGAATGGGGCAGTCAAACAACTCACGCAGTTATGTTCATCTGGTGATTTCGTATAATGCTGCAGCTGGGAACCGCAGAGTGCAATGCTAGCTGCAAAAGCCAGTACCCAAAGTGATCCCATTATTCGCGGCTACAAGCAAGGCTTGAACGAGTATGGCCAGGACGCAGAACATCGGCTCGTTTTATAACCAATCCTCACGCGCGCCCGCGGCATCTTATTCTCCTCGTGTAGCCTACAGACTCTTCGCCGCCCCTGACTTCAGGAGGCTTGCATTCCTCGGGCGGTTGTTGTTGCTACATTGAAGTCATACATGCAGCAATTTTTTCGCAAGAAATAGAGTGTAATACGCCCCAATTGGGTCCCCCCCACACACACACACACACTTTTCTTCGGAGCACGCATTGCGAAGCTCAAATATAAAAGTGAGGGGAACCCAATGGGGGCGTATTACGAGCGATGCATTAGTTATTACCTATTTATTACCTATTTCTTGCGAAAAACATTTGTATGAACTATAATCAATCCACGATAGGCGTCTGCGTGTGCGCAATTGCCAAGCCTCGAAAACAAAAAAAGACATTCACCAAAAAACGATCAAACAAACAAACAAAGTATGAGAAAGTCAGACAACACTGTTAATGAAGGAGATTGGAGGTAAACTCTGCAGCCACAGGGCAGCATTCCCTCTCCACAGAGACACAGAGCACCTCTTGAACAGCTGGCGAGAGGTTGTTAACCCTCGCTGCGCGCATGCGCAGCGGAGGGTTATTGCAGTCGGTCTGTGTGTGTGTCGTCCGTCCGTTTGTCCACCGTTTTTCTCGGCAACTCTGAGCGTGAAACGTGGACATATTTTCAACTAGGAGGAATGCATGGTAAAATAAGATTTTGGAGCGGAGAAGCCCGGGGAAGCTGGTGAAACGGACGGCTGCCGAGGTGGGTGTGCGTCAAATAGAGATCGCGAACCATACTTAGATGCTTGTGGAGAAGATTTGCTGGTCTGGCTGTATTGATGGTACAGTTGAGTAGGATCGAGATTGCCGGTGAAGTGAGAGCAGCACACGCCCCAGTGAATCCGTTCAGTGAAGGAGTCACTGAGGTAGCGTAGATGTAGCTGAATAGTGGTGAGGGTTGTCAAGACCAGTGCTTTTCACTTTGCTGTGGTAGTAACTAGTATTGAACGCGCATGTGGCAAAAACTGACGTAGTGTAGCTAGTAGCCATTGGCTGCTGAAATAAAGAATAAAGTGGCGAGGGTTATGCACTTTCAAGTGCTTTTCATTATATTAGGGGACATCAGCTGGCCAATTGTAGCAACCTGGAATCAGGGAAGGAAACCCTATCCGTGGCACGTGGAGAACATTGCATTACGGATCGAGTCATGGCGAAACATTCTGTCACCATTCCCACCACACCCCACATGGTGATCGCCGAACGAGTCAGCGCAGCTACATGACAGATGGAACACTTCAAATTTCCACTGTAGATCGGAAGACCGAGCCAGTATTGGAGACACACACGAAACTAGCGGTCGAGGAAATGCAGACCAAGGGCCCGGGAGGGAATGACATTGAGTCAGTGAGTCGCCAGCATGATGGAATGAGCATGAGCGAGAGTGAGAGCCCTCGAACGGGAGTCAGGAGCACTGTCGAGCAAAGCATCAAAGAGGGCCAGATCGACTGACTTAGACAATGCACGCTGGGTGAGAGGAACATCCACATCTTGGAGAGAGAGCCACTCAGGTCTCCCAGCTGTCTCAGCTAGATCAGAGACACAAACCGGGAAAATAGAGGGACCCAATTAGAGCCAATGTAGGCAGGTGGGGCATGGAGTAAGGCCTGGCGAAGACCGAGACCACCCATGGAAACAGGCAGAGGCCTTTAGCCACGGCCACCCACATCTGAACAAGCTCCCCTCATGATATATATCATCAAAGGTGACTAGCGCAGGCTTTGACGTGCTGGGGGCAAGTGTGAGCTTCCGACCCATGCGTACCTGGTTTCGAGGCCACAATTTCCTGGGCAGAGTCACACGTAACGCCGCACACAAACATTTTCATGGCTAGCTCAAAGAGTAAGTATGGATGTGAAATTGATGATGTAGCTACTGTTTCCTAAGTCAAAATAATAAATTATTATGTACACTCTCTAGAACAACAAAAACACGATCATTGCTAGACACACACAGGGACAGAGGTTCAGGCAATGTCAGAGTGGTTGTTCTTGGCTGGTGAGCGAGACCGTCTCCTAGCTGGACCCGGCGGCTTCATGAACTTTGGCCGGTAAGCCTGCTGGGAGGGGTGGACCTCCTCCATGATGTAAGCCTCACTCAGGTCCTTCCCACTGTCTATCTCAATCTGAGGGTGTAATTACCTTTACACACATCTTCACAACAACTTTCAGGAAGAATAATAATTATTCCCACCCAGGTCTTAGACCGCACCAACAATCTAATACTTCAAAAATAACCCAGTAAGCCTCACTCAGGTCCTTCCCACCATCTGGGGGCGTAAATTATCGTTACACACATCTTCACAAGAACTTTCAAGAAGAATAGTATTTCCGACACAGGTCTTAGACCACACCAATAATCTGGATCTTCCTAGGAATACTCTGAAAATAACCCAGTAAGCCTCACTCAGGTCCTTCCCACTATCTGGGGGCGTAAATTATCGTTACACACATCTTCACAACAACTTTCAGGAAGAATAATATTTCCCACGCAGGTCTTATACCACACCAATAATCTGTTTATATTAGATCTTCCTAAGAATACTCTGAAAATAACCCAGTAAGCCTTGCTCAGGTCCTTCCCACCATCTGGGGGCGTAAATTATCGTTACACACATCTTCACAACAACTTTCAGGAAGAATAATAGTCCCACGCAGGTCTTAGACCACACCAATAATCTGTTTATATTAGATATTCCTAGGAATACTCTGAAAATAACCCAGTAAGCCTCACTCAGGTCCTTCCCACTATCTGGGGGCGTAAATTATCGTTACACACATCTTCACAAGAATTTTCAAGAAGAATAATATTTCCCACACAGGTCTTAGACCACACCAATAATCTGTTTATATTAGATCTTCCTAAGAATACTCTGAAAATAACCCAGTAAGCCTCACTCAGGTCCTTCCCACTATCTGGGGGCGTAAATTATCGTTACACACATCTTCACAACAACTTTCAGGAAGAATAATAGTCCCACGCAGGTCTTAGACCACACCAATAACCTGTTTATATTAGATCTTCCTAGGAATTCTCCCAATCTCAAAAAGCAAACAGCCTGTTTACACTACACATGTTCATGGGAATACCAATATGACATTCCCCTACGTGAAAACTTTTAACAGCAGCAAACATCTCCACATTAGCTACATAACACATGCAGAGTCTAAAACTGCACTGCCAATAGCATCAGTGGATAAAGTGATAGTGGTTTGTGCTCCTCTAGCTATCATAAAAATATACACATACCTTTTTTACAACTTCGATCTTGAGGCTGTCCTCTACTACAGACACCAGTGGCTCCTTGCAAGAAGAGTAGAGCATGCGCTCCTTGATACTGCTCTTGAACCCGGGACACGAATAGATAAACACTGCAAACAATGTGACATGAAGATGTGAATAAGCCACCCTTATTATACAAGCACAAAATTGTCGCAGTTTGAAGAGCCACTTTCGGGATTTCAAATGAAGGCAGAATATTGACATTGTGTAGTTGTACTTGGCGAGTGGAAGTGAACCAGTTCAAACGGACTGAAAAATGCACCTTTTACATCTAATAGTGCATGCATTTGGACTTCTTTTTTTGCAATACGTTCTCTGCATACTATCTACATTTGTAGTCCAACTTCAAACAACCCGGTGCTAAGAATATACGATGTATTCTGAGCTGTGGGCTGCGGGCTGCACCGGTATCAGTATTGGACAGGAAGTCCTTATCACAACATCTAGCGCTATGCGTAGTGCAAATTGTCTGGCTTCCAAAGTTTACACAACAGTCATTAGTGATTAGTGCAGGATGACACAGCAGAAATTCAGCATTGTGATTGGCTAGTTGGACTACAAATCAGTTAACGTCAGGCGTCTCGGCGCGTACAGGAAATCCTCCTCGGCTGTTAACTATACCGGCCTCGGGCTACGCCCTCGTCCGGTATAGTCAACAGCCTCGGAGTATCTCCTGTACCGCCTCCCCGCCTATACGTTAACTAATACGTAGCTTGCTTCCGTCCGCCGAAATGCTTTACAGGAAAACTGGTTTTTACAATGGCATCCCAGCGTTTGTAAGTACAGCATAACAATCCCAGGATATCATAGTGTACATAATGACCAACACACCATGTGCATGTACCTATGCTCTCCTGGTAGTCACCCTCGAACGTGTGTTTGAAGAGGAAGAAGTGATAACTGGGGTGGCCATCAGGGACCACTGCCGACAGTCCGTCAGCCGTCATACTCTCCTTCTTGGTGTCCAGGTAGATACGCTCCTTCGACATCTCCACTGCCTATGTACAGTGTGTATGTAGGGTATGTAGCAGTGAATAATGTATTTGTGCTACTATGACACCTACACTGCCTAAGATACGAGGTGTAAGCTCTTTTTCGATAACTTTACTGTGTAACTGGAAACCAGGCATTAAAGGGAATGTGTATATAAGTAAGGGATAAATTTAGAAAATGTTACTAAAATAGAAACTTGATTGCATTCTTGCACTGGGTCCTATCTATCTTTAGTAACACTTCTAAATTTAGCCCTTAACTACTGCCAAATTCCCTCTAAGACTATTGACTAATGTAAATCAGCCCTCAAGGTTATTATGGGATATATACTTTGATACCTGATAGGGAGTCACCCTATGTATACACGAATTGACTTTACAAGCCATGTACACATTAGTCAAAAACCAAACTGCCTGGTGACACCTACATGACCTGAGCAAAGTGAGGTGTACAATACAATGTGCTCCTTCAACACCTGCACTGCCTAACACATGAGGCCGGAGAGTGTAATGCAGCTAATGATGAGGTCAATGTACGTATATATCTTCTCCTACACATGGTTTCGAGCACCAGTGAAAGTCGACATATATATATATACCACACTCAATTGAGAATGCCAAGTATTATGATGCAGAGTGACTCTGCACAGGAAAAGAGCACAAGATCCTCAAGTGAAGTATAAAACGCTCGCCAAAGATATTGCTAAGAGTGGAAATACCCATGTTTATATGTAGTAAAAATCTGTGCAGCTTTTGGTTGAAGTAGAGTACTCCATAGTGGTTTACTGAGTAGCTAGTGCTGATTGGATTCCACTGTACAGTAAAAGAAAGGGAAAACACCTGGGATCATCCTAGTTGGGGGGTTCCCATACTACACTATACAATACCAGAAAAAATGCAGGTAGGCTCACTTTGCTTGCAAATTTACATTGACACACACGGCTTATTTTCACAGATTGTGTGGCGTTCCACATGAGCAGCTTCCAAGTTAGTCTTTCTCATGGTTTGGCCTACGAACTTTTTTGAGATCATTGAGGCATGAAAAAGTCCTCGTGAAAATAAATAAGCCGTCTCATGTGTAAGGACAGGAGAGCTTGGGAAGGGTCGGGATTAAAGGAGATTACTGTAGAGACATGGTACAGCAAACGTGACCAGACTGGGGGTGTCACAATTACCTACAAAGATTTTTCTTCAAATACTCTCTGAACGATGTAACTACCGCCACATCCCCAGAAAACCGTAAGAGAGAGCTAACCAGTCGGACGTAGGCAAGTTCCTTGTTCCCGAGCTGCTGGAGTGCCTGGAGGGCATTTTGGTCGATGGGGAAGGCCACTCCATGGAGATGACTCTGCCGTGTCGCTGTTCCAACATCAACACGGTCCTGAGTGTAACAGAACGCATGGCAATAACAGATAGCTATAGATGCTAGTGGACAAGTATGAAACAACATTTGACAAAACTTATTATATGGAAACACACACACACACACAGTACGCACATACATACAGATGTAAGTATGACATGATGAGACAGCAACGCTGTCCAGGGTACTTAAAGGAACTTGTGTTCCTGTGTTTACTGTATGATTATATCACAGATAGCTTTCTTGGGACAGAAAGGAACAACAAAACCACTACAAAGCTATGTTACAAAACCGTGTAACTTCTATATTGCGAAAGTTTTGATTTCGTCGCACATGTAGCGCCATAAAAAAACTCCCTTAAACAGTAGAGACATCTGAATATAAAGTGCGATTTCAATCACATGTACATTAAATATGGTCATGATTTAGGTGTATGTATATATGTTAAAATTTGCACGTAATTAATCAAGTGTCATACTAAGAATGCAGTATGAAATTTCCTGGCATGTACAGTATGTATGTATACACTGCCACTTTGCTCCCTTCATTCATCTTGAGGTGTATGGAGTCTGTGGATCTCACCTCATTCAGCTGGAGTTCTTGAAGAGCCACTTCAGTCTGAGAGAGAGGAGGGGCAGCCTTCTGACTCTCCAGGTGACGGCGGTACCCAGCCAATGACAACTCATCCTGCAGGGACACATACATACGTACAGTATGCACATGTGTACACTATTGTAGGTCTTATGTACTGTACTTAGTACAATACGTATCTGTGACTTGCAGTGCTCATTCATATGTAGGTTATCACTAACACCATGTACAAGGTTTGCCTCTTGGTGTGCATGCACAAACATGGGGTTGTGTGTCTGTCTTGTTTTACCACTATTCTGGCACTACAGGCTACGAGGTGCCCCACGGGTGATACCAAAGGCTGTTTGCTTGAGGGTTATGGCGAGTAAAAAGCCACCAATGAGCAGTTGCCAGTGTTTCCCCATTCAGAGGCAAGACGTTACCCAGCGAAGACGAATATTCAGTTCAGCATACTAGCTGCTACTCACAGGGTGCAGCTAGCGTGTGTTTGCGTAGAGGGGGAAACTGACACGGGTAAGTTGACTATACCACATGGTACAACAACTCACCACTGCTGGCTGCATACACGTCTTCCTTTTGCACAGGGTTTACACCCTAGTGAATTTTCTTTCATGTGTTGTGTGCACGCACGATGTACTGTATGTGCGTTACTAAGAGATTCTCAACCTTAGTGTGGTGACGTAGAATAAGACCATAGTAGCTATACAGTACTACAGGTTTGTCCTATTACAAGTCATCATTGTGTTCACCTTGGTGGTGGCGGCAATGTCGTCAACAACAACTCCTGACTGGAACGCCTTCCTTACTGTGGCCTTTGTAGCTGCATACAGCATCTTGTCCCTAACCTACAGGGGAAACGACACTATCTGTTCAGTCGTGTCTCCATTCGCCTCTGGGAACAATATCTTCACTCCCAACTGAAACCATAATATGGAGGTAAGGAGGGAGAGGGAGAGCCCGGGAATGAGGCTGCAGTACATGAGCTACATATACATGTAATACAGCAGTGAGTGCATGATGCACACACAGTACAATGTAAACCTCCCACAATAAAGTTTAGGCAAGAACATGTTTGGAGGACAGTGTTATGACAGGAACAAGGTACGTGATCTCTCCAGAAGGTTCTGGAACTTCGCCTGTATTAGGCAACCAAACTCCCCTACACACCATCTACATAACTCATAAACTTCCACTCAGCTCAGTTGCCTGTCAATAGCACATGGAAAATTCTCTGTGCCATTTGCTCCCGCTATTAAAGGTCAAAGTTTAAACATGGGACAGTCTGCATGCACACACATACTATATATCAGGATCCAGTTAAAGGGAATGTGTCAGTACGTAAGAGCTAAATTTAGAAATGTTACTATAGACGGTGCTACAGAAAAGGGTCCAGTGCAATATTAATTTCCATTTTTAGTCATAGTATCTAAATTTAGCACTTATAAACTGCCACATTCCCTTTAATGAACACACTGTGCACTAATTATGTCTACCACACAGTATACACACCTGTAATTACAGTATAATTATACCACTACTTTAATACTAGTTAAGATGTGTACCCATTGCTTTAACCATCTTCTACCTTGGCATTGTCGGGAGTGTAAGACATGAAGACCCAGAGGTAGTTTTGGTAGGAGTTTCTCTCATCCAGTCTGTAGAAGATGTAACAGGGCTTGTCCTCAAAGAGCTGGGGCTGGATCATGGAGTCCAGATGTAGCCACACAGAGAGGGAGTTAGGGAGAACTCAGACTGACACACAAACAACCACACCATGATTATAATACGTGTGGGTTGCACCCAGTTGTCTAGCACAGCTAGAGGCCAAATCATTCAATAATGGACAAAGGCATGCGTGTACATGTATGTGTGGGCACGCCAAACTCTCAACCACACACAAACTGATTCCGTTTGTGCATGCCACAAGCCCACACTAATTCAGTCTTGTTTTCTGCACAACTTTCCAAAATGAGAGATAATTGTTACCTAGAGGACAGCGGAAAAGATCAACAACATCCCTTCCTCTTAACACAAGGAGATACCACTACATTAATGAAAGTAGGGTATGTTGCAGTAAACAGTGTGTCCAGGTCACGTGCCATCACATGTGAAATTACCCCAGCCTCTGCTTTACTAGGAATGAGGCTAACCCTTGAGGACCCATAGCTTCGTTCCCAGGCTTTCCCTTTCCGTGCACAATTCTAATCTTCGCCCACAATTTTTAACTTGTGACCTTTGAACCCCTGGCTTTTTTAGATTAACCTTTGACTCCAGGGTTTCAAAGTCCATTCGTAAAAATATTGTGTGCGGAGAGGTAGAGCCTGGGAACGAGGCTAGAGCACCTATAATAATTATGTACTAGTTTCAAGGTAATGTAAAGAGGAGGAGGATATCATCTTCCCATGACCCGGAGGTTGTTGAACTGCCATCTGGTACCAGCTTCTCTGGAGACAGAGAGAGACACACAGATAGAATTTTACACACACATCCGCCATGTCACTATTTACAACTCACCCTCTGAGAATATACTGAATGTACAACATGTTTTCGTAAGGTAATTTGCTTACATTTTTAAGCACAGTGAATTGCCGCATCTCTAGAACATTATATGTATGTATATGTAGGACTACTGTAGAGAGCATACAGTTACTCTAATAGCAGGGGCTCACCATAGGACTACTGTAGAGAGCATAGCTACTCTAATAGCAGGGGCTCACCATAGGACTACTGTAGAGAGCATAGCTACTCTAATAGCAGGGGCTCACCATAGGACTATTGTAGAGAGCATAGCTACTCTAATAGCAGGGGCTCACCATAGGACTACTGTAGAGAGCATAGCTACTCTAATAGCAGGGGCTCACCATAGGACTATTGTAGAGAGCATAGCTACTCTAATAGCAGGGGCTCACCATAGGACTACTGTAGAGAGCATAGCTACTCTAATAGCAGGGGCTCACCATATGACTACTGTAGAGAGCATAGCTACTCTAATAGCAGGGGCTCACCATAGGACTACTGTAGAGAGCATAGCTACTCTAATAGCAGGGGCTCACCATAGGACTACTGTAGAGGGCATAGCTACTCTAATAGCAGGGGCTCACCATTCTCGATGCTGATCTTGATGTACCTCAGAGATCCCTTCAGAGCCGTGGAGATGAGCTCCTTCAGCTCCTCTGAGGCTGTGTTGATAGCATATGTACGTAAATTACAGAAGGATAAAAACCCAATTTAACTCATACACACAATATGTATTCCTATTAGAATGTAGACATGCCTGCAGATGACATATATATTACTAGTGTACATACATGTATGAAGCCACACACATTTATACATCCAAAATCAACAAGCTTGTGACACTACACTTGCGATCATTCAGTAGGAATTTCCACTCGGTAACAAGTGCATGTGCCACAAAAGAGTGCGGGTATTCTTCTAACAGAGTGTACCGTCTGCCCCGCCCCCTTCCCAAGGCTAGAAGTTAGTCGTAAAACAGGATTGTGTATGTTGGTTGATGAACACGGAGAACTCCTTCTGAGGAACTGTTGGGACTTTCACTATTGGGAACACTACCAGGCAGGAAACATGTTTGCCACAAACATGTGTCATTTGGGGAAACTGTCTTACTGTAGATAGAGGATGTGTACACAACAACCCCCACCCTACCCCAGTACGTCCTCAATTTGTACATGAGCAGCCAGTATAGCAACCCCTACGCCTTGAAACAAACACCACCGTGTTGAAGGTTTGTGCTAGATTATCGGCAAACGTAGGCTCCAAAAACCTAAAGAGCCGGTGAGTATGTGAGGGAAATACATGTGTACATGACATACACTCAGTATAATGATTATAGAACTAGACATATCTGATTCAAAGCTACATACGGTCATGAGTATCAATGCACATGAGCAGGAAGACCTGAATGGATGGTGTTTGTGAGTCATGGATGGCCTAAGTGCAACAGAGCTATACTTACTGCAGGTATGGCTCAAACCACTCTAGAACAAAGATTAAGAGGCAGGTACTGTATAATATTTATGTGTAAATATAGCCATTTGATTTTCACTAGTAATGGATGGAACCACTTGGCCTAAGCTGCTCTGATGACGAAGATTCAACTGTACACAACCAGAAACGTCCAATTGGTGCTGTAGACTACAGCTAAAATCAATGGAGACTAAGAGCAAAGGAAACTGATAGGTACGAGTTGCTGGGGAAGAGACCACTCAAGGCTGGTGTGTTGACACAACACCAATGACCACACAGTCGGCTGGTGGATTGGCAGTGACCATATTTGGCAACAAGCCTCTATTGCATGAAATTATAATACCAGCCATAGGTATATAGATAGATAGATAGATAGATAGAGAAAACCACCACCACCATATTTACAAACCCCAAAATATCCACACAAAACACATACACAAATACACATGACATGACATGTACACATTACACTGATGCCTCCTTGTGCCACGGTTTGAATCTTCTATTGTTTCAGCTTTGCCTGCGGAAGCACACTAGAAAGAGTACGGTACCCATCAGACACAAGGTACAACACATTACGTTTGTGAACGAATTTGCATGCGGAGTCAAACACATTCACTCCACGTGTGAAACACGGTTGGTTTATACACTGTGTGTAACTGATGGGTGACTGTACTAACGTTGCTTAGAAAGCAGAGTGTAATGGGTTTGAAGGAAAAAGTGTCCTGGGTATCATTGTGTAACCATGTCGTTGCGTCATACAAGATGTACGTGAGTGCGGAGCCGAAAGGAGCATAGTACATAGAGACCATCTGACATACACAGGTCATGGTAGTGTACTGAATGCTAACTGCAGTGTAAAGACATTGGCACAAGCTGCAGCCTATTATTTTACCATGTGTTCGAGTCATTTACTGAGTAGCCAGTCCCACACGTGGTTTCCATAAACAACAACACAGGTGCCTTGTACACATTGGCCTTTTACTGAACAATGACAATGGAATGTGATATCAATCAGGGACAGTTTACCAAAGATAGATATGTACATTGCAATGTGCATTTGCACCAAGTATTAGCTGATGGAATCTGATTTCAGATATTCATAGACAGCTCATAATTATACTACAATGTCCATAAAATGATGTACATATGTAAAAGCATGGGTAAATGTATACCAGTGAGTGTAGAAGAAAAACCAACAAACAGCAGTATATACTGCAAAACCTGATGCTAGAGTGTAGTACAGGTATACTACGGATCTATTATAAGGGGGGGGGGGGAGAATGTATGTACAGTACATGTAAGTCCCTGGTTTTTTTAAATCACTCCCTACTATGCAAAACATGGCCTTATCAAGGACGAGGTTTGTGACATGCAACAGGTACACGGTATGTACATGCAAGTCCCTGGGTTCAGTAGCAGAGATTTGGTTGATCGAAATCACTGCCTACCATACCAAACATGGGAAGAGGTTGGTGACATCACACATTAGAGGTACAGGTACGTATGACAGTTGGTGGGTGAAAGGGAAGCTCTGCTGTCTCACCACAGAGCCCATCCTTGAATAGCTACACAACATGCTGTATGTGAGGGCTTTACCTTGGGGACACCGGGGACAACCTTACCAAACTTACTGTCACAAATGGAGTACATACAGTATGTATGTATGCCATGCAGGCAGTCAGGAACCTACAGCTATTGTAAGCCATTTCCCACTAGCTGTCCAATGCCAATCCCACCTCCAAGAACAGGGAAGTGTTACTAGCTACCTTCCCTACCCTAGGGTGATCCTGGAATAGGTGATCATGGAATAAGTCCCAAAACACCGCGGCTAAAAGAAAGTTGACACGAACAGCCAGCAAAATAGAAAGCGGGTGGACGAAAACTTCGGCTAACAGGCAAGGAGAGAGAAACACAATCGCTAAAAGAATGCCAACCTCGAAGCCAACAAACCCAACGTTATATGCCCCATGCAGACAGACTTACGCTCGATCCCTGTTTGATGGGCCATTCCAGCAGTGGGTCAGGAGAACTGACAAAGGCAGCAGTCACACAAACCAGAGAGGAGAGTCGAGAATACCACTGGATGAACTCTCGCTTTGAGTGGGCGTGTCCCCCAGCGAGTCCGTGCTTTTATGGGCATGCGCAATGAACTGTCCGGCAGTCACAGTCTAGTCACAGTGCATGCAGTGTCATTTTGAATCATGCAGCTAAAGGACATCATGCCGTCCAGGGACGGCAAAGTGGCTGTCGTCGCCTACCTCATCTCCATCGTCTCGTTCTTCGTGATGGTGGTAGAAGAGGTAGACTGGTGGGCCATACCTCTGGTCGAGGGCGTCGCCTACTTCATCATGATCCTCATCATAGACGTCAAGATTGTCCAGGTCATCTTCATCGTTCACTCCCTGGGACTCGTGTTCTCTGTGGGCGGTCTCATCGCCGTATCCGACCACCCCTTCTCCAGTTTCGGGGTCTACATGATGGCTATGTCTTTCTTCCACTGGTCGGAGTACGTCACGACGGCTATATTCAACCCCTCTACTCTCTCCCTGGACTCGTTCCTCATCAACCACAGCTGGGAGTATGGCGTGGCGGCCTGTGCCAGCTGGCTGGAGTTCTGGGTCGAGTATTACTTCTTCCCTGGTCTCAAGACGCTCAGAATCTTCTTCTGGGTGGGGCTGGTGATGGTTGTATTGGGGGAGACCCTGAGGAAAGTGGCAATGTTCACGGCAGGCTCAAACTTTACCCACCAAGTCCAGAATGTCAAGCGGCCTAATCACAGTCTCGTCACCACAGGGGTGTACTCGCTATTTAGACACCCATCCTACGTAGGGTGGTTCTATTGGAGCATAGGGACTCAGATATTAGTGTTCAACCCAGTATGCTCCGTGGGCTATGCAATAGTCACGTGGATGTTCTTCCGAGAGAGAATAGAGGAGGAGGAGAAACTGCTACTGTGGTTCTTTGGTGATGAGTACTCTCAGTACAAGGAGAAAGTTGGCACTGGGATTCCATTTCTTCCTGGCTACAAACACAAGACGTCTTAGGGAGGGCAGTCTATTCATAGGGAGCTTTTGAACTCTTAGGGCACAAACAGAGTTATCAATTGCTACTCTAACGCACGACTCGCTTACATCTTTCTAAAGGCATTCACCTATTCAAGTTTTCTTTCTGTAAGAAGGTACATGTTTACACACCATTATACTGCTATTTTGTTTAGCATTAGGAGTGAAAATGGCTCATAACCCTTGTCAAAAACATTATTCGGGATACTGACCATAGTATATACAAAACTCAGCATTCCATGTTAGTATATAAGGCGAGCCTGAAAATCTACGATGTGGTAGAACTTCCAATAAAAGGATACTCTAATAAAAAAGGACACACTTTGAAGTCCCAAACCTCAACACATTGTTACTCTAAAGGGGGTCCCTATACTGCCTTGTCCCAACTTGTCTGTTATCGATCAGGTTCCACTGTACCATCACAAATGGCAGCCAAGCACTTATCCGTTCTGTTTTTGAGCCTAAATCTTCGTGCAGTGTTCAGTGAGTTAGAACAAGCTGGATATGTTGAAGTATAGTGGTTTTCTTTGGGATAAGATGATATAAACAGGGCACAATATTTTTAGTTTCTATAGACAGTGATACAAGAGTTAAAGAGTGGTATGATATCATGTAGATCGTCGACCACGACATCACTGAGGTCCTCCTGCCATGAATTGCGGGGGTTCCTCAGCAATATACCAACTGCGGGAATGATGCGTACATTAACTTTGTATGTAGGGCCTGTACAAATGAAGTCATTGTGTTTGCCCATCTGCCCCAGGCCCATCATCTAAGCCCAAAACGGGTCCAATGAATGAGTGCTCTTGCTGGCGACACAAGATATACATACAACGTACTATCATGTTAGTTGTCAGTGAGTTTGACCAATGACTGATGTCATGATTTTACATGCATTTAGGCAGTTGTAGTTTGTACTAACACAATAGTGCACACATGTAGCTATAGGTGTTATATTGGTGTTCCCTACCAGGTTTAGTAAGGTAATCTTTGACATAGACATCAATGGGGAGTGGGGACAGACTAGACTTGGAAACCGCTTGCAACAATAATGTGGATATAGCTCAAACGTCCTACCTTGCAAAGTTATGGAACAATAATTATCGTTGTGGGTATATAGGGGGAACTAGATACGAGACCAAGGGCTGCTGTATTTGATAGCAGAACACTGGGCTGAGCCAGAGACACACAAACATGAACGTAAATAGTGCACTTTCCCCCAAAAACTACAAAGTGAGGCTGAAGATTCCCAACACACTATACCAAGGTCTGACCTGCTGCTCCGGCGTTTCGACAGCACCTCATATCAGTGGCATCATCTCCAATGAACACAACGTCTGCAGGCTCCACCCCCCACTGCCTGCAAATATGGTACACAGCTGCCGGGTCTGGCTTACACGGTGTGAAGTCTCGAGTTAGTACCTGCACATCGGTAGTGGGCTGATGGATATTGCATGTGTTCAAGTTGAGGTCTATAGACCCATTCCATGCATGTAGATACAAGATATCATATAATTAGTACTAAGACATCAGGGTGTTAACAACTCTGCAGATAAGTTGCCTTAGGGGATCAGTGTATGTACTGCATGCAAGCGAGTCCAGCTTTAAATATACAGGGCTCATGCTGTCCTGTCTGGGCACTTCAACAGAATTGTTGGATATCCCTAGGCAAATGACATTGTATGAACCCTGCTTGTAGGATTGTATACGCTGATAAAATCCAAAAGTACCTAAGCTTCATACATGTCGGTTGCCTAGGGATATCCAACAAGCGTAGATGCAGATCCACGTACATACCACACTAGATCAGGACTGGCAGTCACAAACAGCGTAAAAGAGCCAGAGGCAAAACATTAGTGGGTTACGCAGAACCTCAATATTCACAAAATAGAAAGTTGTGCACCATAGTCCATTTACGTTGAGAACGCAAGTTGATTTTCATGAATAACTTCATTACCCTTTACTCTATTGTACAGTTCTTGGTACCATTTTGTATTATAGCTCTTAAAGATTCTGTTCCTTTGGTCTTGGTAAAACTCCTATTTTGTGTATGGTAAAGTGCATTCTACAACTTCAACATAATATTATAGCACACAGTATCTGCTTTTAGCTGTGACTCCTTATAGCACTCTCTTCTATTAATTAAGCTAAGAACTTCATCATCGATAGGACCTGAGAGAAAATTTGGTTGGGTTCCAGGAGAGGATAGAGGTGTCTCCTGTCAGCCAGTTCCTGGTGCAGCTTGTCCAGGAACACCTGTGCCGCCTCCGGAGAGTTCCTGGTCACGACAGCCCTCTCCACTCCGGACTGGATCAGCATGTGGAGGAGATCCAGGACCCCTGGCTGCAACTCCAACCTCCTGGAGGCTTGGGAAGAGAACAAACTGCCTCAAAAGAGGGTGGGGCTGATGGTATATACTGAAGTTGTACTTAGGGGTGGCAAATTTTCTACTAGACCCATACACCCATATACAACTATGTTAGCTATAACCTTCTTCTTCAAGCTCTTCTATGGTCCTCATTGCCTGCGCTCGCTGCGCAGCTGGCATTCTCATCACAGTTGGGAGTATATCCGCGCCCTGAGGCAGGCCCAGTCTGGACCGCATCTCCACGAAATCCAGCACGGGGACCGTCAGCGTTCCGTCCATGTCGAAGATCACTCCGCGGATTCCACGAATAACCGAGTGGAGATGTCTCCCGACTGTAGCACCACGAGGTGGCGTCACTTCCACGCCGTTTCCAGCACCAGGAGAGGAGCGGATGGCGCGATAGAGGAATCGGAATCTGGCAGAAGACATTTCGCATATAGTACTCGATCACTTTCCCTGTTCCAGTCGGCTGGCTCTATAGCCAGCTTGCAAACGGTATAGCGCGCCGTTTCTGTTGGGCCGGGACGAGAGGCCGATGAAGTGCTCTCTAAATCGACCGCTTGTTATACGCGCATGCGCAGATGTGATCATGCGCGCAACAGTACAGCTGCTGAAAGAGGCAAGGTCAGACAACTAGGTAGGCTCCCATTCTGAAAGATCCTTTGCACCGGTTCATGGATCGACATAGCAGACCACCCCCTCTGAGATATATCCCTTTCCTGTCTCTCCAGGTGTCACAGTCCCGATTTCGATTCCATTTGTGGTATAGAAGTGATCCACAATCTTTGGGTTCCAGTAGCGGTAAAGTGGAACTGTGCCTTCTTTTTCAGTGGGGAAACAGTATCCAACTATGCCTTCACTCCCATGATTGCCAATCTCTCCAGGGGTAACCGTTCCAATTTCTTTTGGGTTTGTAGTGTAAAAGTGATCACTGTTAGCACTTTTCCAGTAGCGATAGAGAGGTACTGAATGCTCAACTTCTTCCTCATAGATTTGGCATTGGATACCTTCATAAACATAGCCATGTTTTCCAATCTGTCCATATTCTATGGTTCCGATCTCATTGTCATTAATGGTATAGAAGTGGTCAGTCTTTTCCAATTTCCAGTACCGGTGCAGTGGAACAATACCTACGAGCAAGTTACACAACATAGCACTTTAGGGTGCCTTCATTCTGGATCATTACTACAGGAATGACCAATATAAACAAACTTACTACTGAATTGATGTTCTTTAGGGTTAATTGACATTGGAGCTGGAGCATGGACATTGTTACCAAATGACAGAGTTTGTGAAATTGTTAAGGTATAATTATACGTACCATTAGTGGTGTGAGTGCTATACGGTATTAGAAGAACAAAGAGTACAGAAGCCAGGGCGACAACTGCTCCCACCAGACTGGCTGATAGCACTTTGATATTCACCCCTGCACCAAGGTATCTAGCTATATAACTCTCAACAAGAAACGGCCTGCTAACCTACCAGTCATAGCGAAGACATTATCCGCTGCCTCTTGTCCAATATGTAAATCTGCGCCCCTACTTTCGAGTAGATATGGACAGTGGTCTTGAGCTATTCGCTTGGCCAATTTAGACTCTCCTACAATGCTAGACAGCAAAGCCCTGTAAATAACCTCCCACGTGAGTTCTGACGGCTCCGTTCTTCTTTGTCTATAGTGCAACATATCACGAAGATAATCAGAATCGTCTCTGTTGCTTGGTTTCCTCTCGATCAAGTCCAGTTGCTCCGGGGGACAGCCAAGCTCTATCCCAATCTTTTTCCATTTGGTGGCAGCGGGATAGAGATCCTTGTACAATCTTCGAAACTCGATACCGCCATTGAACACGAGGCTATTAGAGGGCCCACGATCACTCGACATCTCTCTGCAACCACCAACCAAACACCCACGCACACCCACCCCCACCCGTTTAGCGCGGGATCAGAGCGCGCTAAAGTTTTTCTACTCCGATGCTGCATGAGAGCGAGCCTCGGAGCCCAGGTCTTACCCTTGTAGCTATCAACCCACACGTCAGTAGAGCTAATAACGCCGGCGAGCACTATTGGCATCAGCAAGGCAGATTCACCAATAGCTACTCAGTGTATGCTATAACAATATTAGTGTGCTTGCAATGTTTTGTGTCTTAAGTCTTACGCGAATACGCCAGATGCGCGCTTCGTACTGCTAAGCACTGGCCAAAAACCGTGCGTCCGCATGTGTGCACATAATCTTCAAGCAGTCTGAATGTCACTTTTTATACTATTCAAGTTTCTTCCATTTGAGCTCTGGCACTTCAATCCTCTTCTTCACATCATATATGATTTCAGGATCTATTTGCAGAGGATCAACGTCCATTGTAGCTAAAGCCCACGTAATGTACTTATCCACGTTCTCAAACTTGTGAGTCACAGTTTCTATCGACTTATGCTCTACCTCAAAGTCACACACGAGAGCGAGACTTTCGTACTCCTCGCAGCTGCAGTAAAACAGTGACTCGGAAATCGTTGGATTGAGAAGTTCTAAGATTCTGTTTGCAGGATCAGCTGGACATAAAAACGCAAATGTTCCACCGACTTTCAGATTCTGATAAACATATTTAAAAGCAGATTCCTTGTCCTCGATCCATTGCATTACCTGATTAGCGAAGATAACATCGTACGGTCCGCTCGGAAAGTTTGTGCTGCTACCAAATACAAAGTGCAAGTTTTCGACATGCCCGTATTTTTCATTTGCAACATGGAGCCTCTTCCTATTGGGGTCGACACCAACGACTCTTCCCTGGGGCCCGACTCGCTCGGCAAGGACACTGGACAGGTACCCAGTACCACATCCCAGGTCCAGCACGACATTGCCTTTTCGAAGGGCCAGCTTGTCAATGAGTTCCACGCCGTTTTTGCCCTGATAGCGCCGCTGAACGTGGTCGTAGGCTTCGGCTGTGTTATTCATCTTTACAGCGCACGTTTTGAACGGCAAAAGAACAATTTTATAACGACACCAAGTGTCAACAACCGCGCCAATAATGACATAACTTGGACAACCTCGGTGTCGCGCGTAGCTTTTATCGTTTCATGCCAAATTATTATACTGCTTGTGTTTCGTGGGATAGATAGAATTTTAGGATGTTTTCTTTGTCGGATTTTGAACAATTTGCTCAACAAAGTCTTAGCAGCGACGCATGGAGTTACTATTCCAGTGGAGCAGGCCTGCAGCAGACGATGAAGGACAACGAGGCCGCATTTCTAAGGTAAGCGTTTCAGACATGGTGTATTGAGGTCTAGAGTGTATCACTTCAAAGGTATCGTCTCCGGCCGCGTGTGTTGAGAGATGTATCTGCGGTAGATACGAGAACTTCAATCTTGGGGAACGCCAATGATTTCCCGGTGTGTGTCGGCGTCACTGCAATGCACAAGTTGGGTCACGATGATGGAGAATTGGCCGCGCGTCATGAACCTAATCAATAAGTGATACTCAGGCCTATTATATATGCGGTGAAAATTGTTTTAGATCTCAAACGCGCATGCAATTAACCTCACGGCGTTATGTGAATAGGATATCGTCTAGTCACCAACTATATAGAAACATTTTTGTGGGAGTATAAATAAAGGGAACTTATTTGTTAGCTGCTACAAAGTACAAAACATGCATGGTACTGGGTTCGTTCTCCACCACTGCTATGGAGGAAGTGGCAGAGGCAGGCAGCCCTGGCTTACAGTGGCTACAGCTCTACATCTTCAGAGACAGGGAGCTCACCAGGAGACTCATTACACAAGCCGAGAGAGTTGGCTTCAAAGCAATTGTGCTGACTGTAGACCAGCCTGTAATAGGACCAGACAGTTACAAGTCGTGGACTGGGTAAAGGGTCTTACTAAACTGCCGATAGTGCTGAAGGGGATTCTGACAGCAGAGGATGCAGTGGAGGCAGTGAGACATGGAGTCCAGGGGATCATAGTCTCCTACCATGGAGGGAGACAGCTGGATGGAGTTCTCGTATCAGTCAGTGGCATTTTCTTTTTCTCTACGTGCAATTAGCTATAATTAATTTTTCGTCTTTGTTGTCAGTACCACTGATTTTTTCCATCTGCAAAGATTGATGCCCTGGGTGAAGTGGTGAGAGCAGTAGAGGGCCGTGTCGAGGTGTACATGGATGGAGGAGTGAGGCAGGGAACTGACGTGCTGAAGGCTCTGGCTATGGGGGGCAGGGCAGTGTTCATTGGAAGACCAGTCCTCTGGGGCCTCGCCTACAAGGGACAGGAAGGAGTTTTGGAGATCCTGAAGGAGGAATTAAAATGTGCCATGATGCTATCAGGTATAACTACTATAAATGAATGCATTGTTCTATATTCCACAGGTGTTTCGAGAGTGACTGATATCAAAGCTAAACTTTGAATCACAACTGCTCTTAGCCTGTAGCTAACTTCTGTAAAACATTATTAGTGGCGAATGATGAATTTCAAAATTAACATTCAGTATCGCCACCAATTCACCGCTTGAGCAAACATCTGCTGGAACTATAATTGCAGTCGCTTTCCTGGCGGCTCGAGGTTTCCCGAGGGCTGCAAAAAATCTGTCGATTAAATTTCAAAATTCATTGCCCTGGGTTTACAGGAGGTTACAAGTGAGAGAAGAGAGGTAAATATTAGTGATACCAGACCGATTTAATTAAAACGATTATCAAGTGCTTTACCATATAACACAAACAGAATCAAAACAATGAATACAAGCATCAACTATTGCTAACATCAACGGAAATATAATACTTGGCGGGGGTAGTAGCGACTCAGTGTAGTCTGCGGGATGGCTGGGGTGGGGTGGGCAGGGTAGGGTTTACAAAGAAACAGGATGCAGGATGATCATGTATCAGCTGCTGGAGTAGAGAAGTGACCATGCATGCAGCTAGCTACCAATTTGCCCAAATGCTAGATCTCCTCAGTCTTTGTAACATGCCCAGGGCAGGTCAGTTGGCTAGTTTCTTTGCATTTCTCATGCACAAAGAGTATGACGATGATGATTCAGAACAACCATGGAAAGTCTGCAAATAACACGTCTCATTTTTGCAAGTTGAGGACTTAGAAAGTTTCCTTTCTGCAATAGCAGCCATGCATGTGTCTTGCCAACTTAAAATATCACTGTTTGAAATCAACATGAAACATTTGGTTGCTATAACACCACAACTACATCTGTTAGGAATCAACTGAGCTGCCAAATAGCATTAACATTGCTCGCCATTTTCCCAGCTAGGGACCACAAAAGTCAAAAGGCTAAAGAAGCATTCAGATAACTCCTTAATGGCCTGAGTTGCCAAATGAAGTAAAGCTGCAGCTGCATGTCTCACACTGTCGCATTCGCTTCTCTTTGGTGATAGCATACTTTCAGCTTTGACTTAGTGTGTGTCAAATGCAACAAAGAGAAGAATTGGTTACTAACTATGATATTGACATTATGGAGTAGCTAACTGCTTCAATGCCATTGCAAACGATGGCCAATTAAATCAAAGGGACTGGCTTTGCCGTCATTAAAGGTATGTCATGCTTTGACTTATCAGAAGCAGCCAAAAAAAGACATCATAATTATTGTGATGAAGAGAACGAGGCACCAAATATTACTTTTCTTAACTGCATGGTGTCTGCTTGCCAAAGTGTCACCGTTTCAAAGCTTTGTTAGCTACACACATTGGAACAGCAGCCGTGCAGGGATAACATTATTTATAGATAGCTATTTCAAAATTACTATCGCTTTAATTGGAGAGCTAATATGTCAAAGGGCAGAAGAATGTTTTAACTAATTAACACTTAGCTTGCCACAGACACATAATTAATGTGTCCAGAGCCTTGATAAGTCCATAAGAATTTATATGGGTCATAATACTAGGCACTAATACTTTATGCTGCTTATTAAACATGACGTCCAAAGGGTTAGTGGTCAGTTGCTAAACACAATGCCCGCAGTTCGCAAAATATACTCCCTGTTACTAAATATTCCCCTTGCCAAGCTAATAAAAACACATATAGTTTTGCAGTTATTAATGAAAAGCACTGAAATGCAAACCCTAGGCGCACTGTGACGCGCACGCGTAAGTGAACGCATGCGCCGTACTACTAATTGATGGGCAGGGTTTAGTTTTAGCTGTTACTCGTGGTCTCTTGCCAGCTCGCGCAGAGTCTGACGCGGGCTAACTACACTACTACATAGCATGCGAGAGGCGATACACGCCCTGCGTTGCATCTTCTGGTGCCTCCGAAGTACGCAGAGCCCGCGGATCGATCGGACTGTGGTAAGCCATCCCGTCCGTTGCGTATTTGCATATTGGCTTTTTCGCGCTCTAGATTTGCAACGGAGCAGTTTCAGAGAAAACCGTTCGAAATTTCTGACCTTCATTGCCCGTTAAGTAGGTCGTATCCTTTGTGAGACGAACAAACACCCGAGAAGTGAGATTGAGAGTAACAGACAGACAGACAGACACACACACAGACCCAAGTACTGTAACCCTCGCTGCGCATGCGCGCCGAGGGTTAATTACTAATTAGCTACCCAAACATGTGACTCAGACAAAACACTCAGTAACTAAAAGCAAACAGACGGCAGTGCGAAAGGAAATGAAAAGCACTTGAAAGTGCATAACCCTCGCCCCTGGTGATTATGGAGCTCCAATAGTAGTTTATTAGAGCCTACATTCAGCAGCCAATGGTTATACCTCAGTGACTCCTTCACTGAACAGATTCGCTCCCTGGCTCTCACTTCACCGCTCCTACTCAACTGTACAATCAATACTGGCAGACCAGCAAATCTTCTCCACACGCGCAAAGTATCTAGCATCTAAGTATATACAGCGATCGTCCGCGATCTCTATTTGACGCACACTCACCTCAGCAGCCGTCCGTTTCACCAGCTTCCCCGACCTTCTCCACTCCAGAATCTTATTTTACCATGCATGTCTCCTACTTGATAATATGTCCACGTTTCACGCTCAGAGTTGCCGCGGTTACCGAGAAAAACGGTGGACAGACGGACGGACGGACGGACGGACGGACACACGCACACACACACACACACACAGACAGACCAACTGCAATAACCCTCGCTGCGCATGCGCGCAGGCAAGGGTTTATTAACTAAGTTGGCTGCCAAAACATTCCTGGGCTTGCATGCTACACGACAACTCACTTCTGGTTCATTGCCAACATATTAATGTGATCCACTGGCCATTTTCAGCAACTGACTTCACGCAATTTCTCCACGTTCTTAACCAGAGAAGCTCTCAAAGAGTGAATTAAAAGCAGAAAGTTCAAAATGGTGGATGTTGTTGCTCTTCGCAATAGTGACTTTTGGAAGAAGAAGTTTGCAAAAGCATGCCTGATGAATGATACAAACAAAAGCGGTACCATAACCAGAAGTGATTTTGAACTGATGATCGAAAAGTACCAGCACACCACGGAGAGGGCGAAATTTGAATCATTTTCAAAGAATCTGCTTCATTTCTGCGATTTATGTGGTCTCACAGATGCCAGTGTGGTGCAAAGCTATAAGGAATTTGAAGAGCAGTGGCTGGCTAATATATCTCAAAACAAAGACATGCACCTTTCAATGGTCTATGATCTTTTTCAATGTCTTGACGTTAATGGCAGTAGTTTCATCGATTTAAAGGAATGGACCTCCCACTGTGATGCTATGGGAGTGCCAGCTGAATGTGCAAAGGAATCCTTCAATGCCATAGATAAAGATAATGATGGGAAAATAACACTGGACGAATTTGTTGCTTACCATGCCGAATTTTTCTATACCACCGAAAACAAGATGAACAGTGCTATTCTTTTCGGCCCACTATAAATTAATGGGCGTGCTGATACAGCCTAAACCTAAACTTGAACTTTTGGCAACTCTATGCAAATCATACCTATAGTTATACAATTTTATATGGCTGTAATAGTTGTTTGTGTGCGCCGCCTTACCCCTGCCAAGTGGCAATAACGTGTGCATGCACATCCCACATCATTTCCCGGGGACGTTCATGCTACTGAGTAACCAACACCATTACAGAGTCCAAGTGGAGTTTAATTAAAGATTAAAGTGCAAACCCTCGGCGAACTGCGCATGCGCGGTAGCACTAATTGATGGGCTGGGCTTTGTATCTTTACTCGTGGTATCCCGCTAGTAGCTCGCGGAGAGTCTGACACGGGCTAGTAGATAGCATGCGGGTGTCGATACACGCCCTTCGTTGTGACTTTTTGTGCCTGCAAGATACACAGAGCGAGCGGACGCGGTCGGTGCGCTAATTTGCATATTGGCTCGTTCACTTGCTTTTCACGCCATAACTTTTGAACGCAGTTGTTATACGAAAATCGCCTTTTTTTAAATGAAGCCAGTGTATCGAACCCGTTGGTATCGCTATTTTGTTATCTCGTTGCGCGTAGTCGCAGAAAACGTGGTAACAGACAGACTGACAGACAGACTGACAGACTGACTGACACACTTACGAGACAACTACCGTAATCCTCGCTGCGCATGCGCGCCGAGGGTTAAATATACGGTGTAAAAATTTGACATGTTTTTCGGATAAAAAGAAGCGCGTGGACGACGTATATACGGACGGTCGTAATCGCGCCGTTCGTACCACTAGGTTAGCTCGCTCCCGCTCGCCAATTACATTATGAAATGAACAAGGCTGTGGTTCCTTCCTGTGTCGAAATTACTAGAAGAATGTTGAACATTGTTGGTGAGCGGGAGCGACCCAACTTGGGATTTGGCCGCGATGCATAACGTGCCGTCTCCTTTCGTGAAGCAAGACAGATCTACCAGTCGCCGTTACTTGTGTATTGTACATTGGCAGAACGGTGAGCAGGTGAGCAGGTGAGCAGAACGGTACTTACGCTTTCAGCTTGGTCGTGGTGTACCAGACAGCTGGCATGCAGCACGAGCAATCCTAGCGTATTTGCAAGTTGCACTTTGGAACCATGAAGATTGGGAAGAGGTATATACGAGCTTCGGTCAGTCACCCAAGGTTCCAGCGCATTCCGTCGAATGGAGGAGAGTTCTCTCGCTGGCTAGATCGATCGGGCGCGAGGCACTGGGTATAAAAAATTTGGAAATAATTTCGGATAAAAAGAAGCGCGTACAAAGCCGCGCATGCGCACTTACACGACGTACGATAAGGTCATTTACTCTTACAAAATGAAACATACTGATCATGTTACAAATGTTGCCCAAATTATTCGTTCTATCCGTTATGTTTTTGGTCCTGTATCGCCATTTGAAGAGCTTCTTTTTTAATTATCATGTTCTTAACTCCTTATGCCATCATCTCTTCTTTCTTTTTTGTGCCTTATTATTGGCATGTGATAATAATAATAATAATAATAAGAGTAGTTGGTGCCTCATGGGCTGCCAATTGTGTGTGGGAAGCTGACATACCGGTTGTTCTTCCTAGAGCAAGGATGTAAAACAATGACTTGGGCCTGGCTTCCTCACACATGTGCGTATGTTGGAGAAGTACATTTAAAAAATTTTTTACAGTCCTACACCTTGCTCTGTTGGTTGACGTTGGCTCCTGCCTCCAAACAGTCTCTGTACTGTCTCAGTATGTCCCTCCTGGGCAGCTATCCCGAGAGGAACAGAACCACTCTGATGAGAGAGAGAGAGACTGTGAATTGATGAGTTCAGCACTGGCAGGTCAGTGAGGACCAGAGTGTGGTTTCAAAGGATCAGGGAATGAGACACGACACTAACCAATACTCAGACAATACAATGTGTCAGAACACAGACGTGCAAATGGAGCTATATAAAAGAAGAGTAAGAATGCTGCGTTCTCAGGAAAACCATGAGAGAAAAAAGAACCGTATGAAGGGTGAGTATGGGATATCAATAACCCTACACTGCGTACTATAGCTACCTAGTCGATATAGAGTGAGAGAACGGGAAACTAGACCATGATTGTGGGATCAGATATCTACAAATGCATGTTTTATTTTCGCATGCATTGTGTACACTGAAAGTTTAGACACTTTTAGTGCCTTCACTAATTTCTACCTAGAGCATAAAAGAAGCGCTTGACAGCTTTGTTGTACATACCAATCTCAGTGTTGAGGTCGAGAAAGAGCTTTTAGCTACACCACTGCCACTATGGTTGGTGGACAAATGAGCTGACTAGCTCTAGAACAACTGTGTATCATACCTTGGTGGTGGCCTGGTGGACATCAGCACCAGCCTCTAGCAAAATGTCCACTACATCAGAGTGTCCCTTTCCACTAGCAACATAGAGTGGACTGAAACCATCCTGTATATACAATGAGAAAGTATGAAGTGGGGTTTACTTCCAGTCTGGAACATGTAGTTATGTCAACAGTGTTTGCAGACATGTATGGTTATTTGTACCACAGAAGCCCTAGAAATCAAAGGCACCGCAAGCAGTGTATGCGCACTAAGACAACTTATTAGTATGCATGCCATGGTGTATGGTGTGCTGACTCAGCCAATACACCTCTCAAAACCACAATGATATCCTCAAGATAATGGCAATTCACGTTTTGAGGGATATTTCAGTATGTTTGCAAAAATCCCCATTCACTACCTTGATGATGAATGAGACAAACGATGTCTCAAACAAGAGCAGTTAACAATTGTTCTACGGTGGGTTTCTGAAGATTTGATGTAAATGAAGGAATGTACCATGTTCCTATTGACGCGCGCACACACGACCAAAGCTGCCAAGGACACCCCTCTGCAGAATGAATGTACCTCTGTCCAAGTCGAGACGCCAATGTTATGATGGGGCCAGTGCAATGAGTGGTTCCAAATCTGGCGGTGCAAGCAGAAGAGCAGTTATACCCACTGTTATGGCCATTCAGTTAGTCTGGCCACCTGTGATGCAGTGAAGCAGTCAAAACCGATCAAATGCACTTTGGAGACAACACACGACATAACTAAGTTGATCAAATATTCACCTCATAGGGAAGGTGTCTTCAAGGAATTGAAAAGTGATATTGATGCTTCTACTTGTAATCACTCGCCTGGTGTGCGTGTACTTTGTCCAACTAGGTGGACTGTGCATGCAGATTCGCTTGCTAGTATCACAGGTAATTATGCAGCCCTTCAAAGCACATGGCAAGAAGTGTTCAGCTTTCCCGCTCTGTAGACTATCTTGACGTCCTTCAGTCCTGAGCCGTAAACCTTTGTCCACATCTCGCGTGCTTGCAGGAGGGGTTTGGGGTTTCCAGAAAGCCATTGAAATTTCTAGAGATACCGAAACAAAAGCAAGAATAGCTCAGATGAAACCTTTTGATTTTCTCTTTGGGTTGTTCTTGGTGAAATGCTGCTTCGGCACTCCAACAATCTCAGCAAAACCCTGCAAAGAAGTCTATATCGGCAGCTGAGGGTCAGCATGTGGGGAAAATGAAAATGGTCATTGATACTCTCCGCAGTCTTAGAACAGTGGCCGTCGATTGAATCGTTGGACACAAGTGTCGGTGCAGTTGTATACTGCATGTGACCGGAATGGGCGCAGTGATCATGCATCTTGATGAGCCACCACCCCTTCCTCAGCGACGAATAACGCTGTGGGAACCTAAACGGTACGAGGATGGCTTGACAACTGGTGACTTCAATGCCACTCCGAAAGCATTCTATCTAAATCGCCAGTTGTGTACTACAAAGCCTATGATACACAGTTGTGAAGCCTTAGAAAATCGATCACCCGAGTCGCGCCTCACGAAAGCACGCCAGCGATAGGAGATTGTACTGCAAATTGGAAGATCTGTTGGTCAAGGCTAGCACAAGTGAAGATTTTCAAGCTTTGCTTCACTTTATCTGCTCCTTTTACAAGGACTTTCATCCTGATCTCCTAAAGGCTCAGTTGCTTACATTTGGTTTAGATTTTCAAGCTGCACAAAAGCAAGCATGTGGTTATAGAGCCATCACAAAGCCTACTATCTTTGACATCAGCGAGTACTTCAAGTCTTTGTCTCATGCTCAAAGACAACTCCTTCATCAAGTGTGTCGAGCTCTTCAAATGATTCTGGTAATGCCAGCTACTAACGCAACATTAGAAAAATCATTCAGTGCCTTACGTCATGTAAAGTAGAGCTATCTTCGTGGCACTATGGGCTGAACAATTTGATGGTCTTCCACGTCCATAAAGATTGAACAGATATGATAAAACATGCTGGAAGTTGTGAATGACTTTGTAAAGGAATCTGAGCAAAGATATCATGAAATTAAATATCATTGTAACTACTTCACCCTAAGTCCAGAATATTAATTTTATTTACACTTGAAGTTTAGCTACTTCAATCAAACTTGTATGTATTTGACTATGTAGGCCCGGCAAGAGGCCATATTATTTGCCAGATTGCACCAGAAACACTCTCAGAAGTGTAGTAAGCACGATTTGCGCACTTCATCAGACTAAGGTTGGCTTGTGTGTGCCTCTAACTTGCTTATGGTTGGCCCTCTAACAGTGAAACTTGGTACACATCTGCAAACTATCATTACACCAAAATTACAAAACAACAAACAGCCTCAGGTATTAATAAATCCCTTTGGGCGCCATTTACATATATATATATGCACAGAGCCTCCATAAGTGCATAAGAATTTATATATGGCTATAATACTAGGCGCTAATATGTTATACATCAATTTCTGCTTATTTAAGGAGACACCTATAACCGAGGTTAATGAGTCGGCTGTTGGCGCTGCCGGATCCGAAGCACGGATCAGTGAGCACATGCGCATAACCGACCACGATTGTGTGGTGCTTGCAGTCGTCGCAGCCAGCGGTCGATTCCTTCAGCTGTGTGGCAAGCACGATTTTGATATTTTACCTCCACCCCTATTCGGGGTGTGATCAGGACTGGGAGTGGACAGGGGTGGAGCCTAGATGAACAGGTGACTCCACCTTCATAAGGTGTTGTCCCCAGACACACCCCTACCAGCCTCACATATCCCAGCCCTTTGGCCAACACCAATGGACTTACGGCCCATGTTCGGGGTGTAGACGAAGAGGGGCGGAGGGGAAAAGGGGCTTGGGCGTTCCGGTACTGCTCAGGTGAGTTAACTCGTGGTTTACCGCTGGTAGCTCGTGGAGAGTCTGGCTACAGCAGTAGATAGCATGCGAGAGTGGATACACACCCTCTCCTTGTGCCTCCAAGGTACACAGAGCGAGCGCACCGGTCGAGGTAAGCCTGTGCTAATTTGCATATTGGCTTGTTCACTCACCTTTCACGTCATAACTTTTGAAAGCAAAAGCTATATGAAAATCACCTTTTTTAAAATGAGGCCAGTGTAGCGATGAACCGGTTGGTGTCGCTATTTTGTTGTCTCGTTGTGCGTAGTCGCAGAAAACATGGTATATAACAGACCAACCGACAGACAAACACACACACACTCACGAACCAAGTACTGTAACCCTCGCTGCGCATGCGCGCCGAGGGGAGCTATAAAAAAAGAATAAGAATGCTGCGTTCTCAGGAAAACCAAGAGAAAAAAGTGTAAATTCCTTATGAAGGGTGAGTATGGGGTGTAGTAATTTTACGAGTTCCGTATGAAGGGTGATGGGGTGTAGTGTTTCCAATAATGCTACACTGTGTACTATACCTAGCTGATAGTAGGAGTGAGACAACGGGAAACTTGACCATATTTGTGGGGTCTGACACATACATCTACAAATGTTTGACTTATTCTCGCAAGCAATCATGCAAATATACACTCACTGACAGGTTTAGGTATATACTTTAGTGCCTTTTATCACTAACCTAGAGCATTTAGAAGTATAATATACTTGACAGCTATGCTGTACATACCAATCACAGTGTAGTCAGAGCTCTTGGCTACACAACTGCCACCATGGTTAGTGAACAAATTAGCCCCGCCTACAAAGTCTGTGGACTACGGATGCACGTGACGTTGATTGGCCTTTCTGCAATCTGATTGGGGATCTCGTTTTCAAGATCTAGGACCAAGAAATGTGTCGGTAGTTACCAAACTCCATTTCCACGTGATGAGTGGGTGGGGTCTGGGTACGAGACTATTGATTATTGATTGGCATGCAGTTGACCAACGTTATTTTGGACCAGAAGCCTGTGTTTGTAGTCGTGTCAGAGAGGTTCATGCTGACTGGTTGTAAGAGCCAGTCAGTGGGAGTACTAAGGCACCCGCCATAACAACTAACATTCTCGTTATAAAAATACATCAACTCTTTACGCCACACGTTAACCCAAGAATTGAAATTATTGTGAACGATTCATGTGACAGTGAAACCATGTAGTTAAAGCAAATATAAAGCAACCGACTACACCACACTTCCTCACATACCTTGGTCCAGTCCTGATTGACATCAGCTCCTGCTTTCACCAGGACATCCACCACCTCAGTGTGTCCCTCTTGACTGGCAACATAGAGTGGACTGAGACCATTCTGTACAGTGAGAGAGAACTAATGAGACATTCCTGACTCACTACTGACCACTCATCTCCCTCCCTGGACACCAGGAGACCTGACAACCATCTCTGTCAGGTCTCCTCCTCATCCAACCTTCACAAGTCTATAGTCTACACTTCTCACTATAGGCTAAGACTGTATAATACTGAGAGGTCTCTGACTATCATGGTATAGAATATATACCTCACTGCAGATGCTGACATCAGCTCCATTCTCTAGCAGTAGCTCCACTACTGCTCTGTGACCATAGAATGAAGCCCAGTACAGTGGAGTCCTGCAACACTGTGTATGTACAGACAATTGGAACAGGCAACAATACAGTAGAACATGACATGGTCTCCAAACCTTGTCAGGAATGAAGACTGCAGCCCCAGCCTTGAGCAACAGACGTACAACCTCAACATGACCTCTGTGAGAGGCTAACAGTAGAGCAGTGTCTCCTTCCTGCAAGTGGTGGGGATACAGAGACCAGTGGAGCAGCAGTCAATGAACTGAGTCAGAAATGAGACTACACATTCACTAGTAGAGAGCCTCACATCCTCAGTCCTGGAGTTGATATTGACAGAAGTGGAGAGGAGTCTCTCAACTGCCTCCACATCTCCTCTCTCAGCAGCATCGTGGAGCTCTGTTCTTCCCTGGGGAGAGGGAGAGACACAATGGTAGACAGAGAGAGAGAAGTGTGGATAAAAGAACACAGAAACAGGTTTAGTTGAGAAAGTAGCTATATACACCTCCTGTTGTACAAACCTGGGTAGAGGCTTGTAGATATCTGTATAGGGAAAAGAACTGCTCAAGACAGTCTAAAAACTGATTCACATAAATACCTGAACTGGCAAGACTGGACATGTTGTGTAAAGTCAGACAACTCTCCTTTCCACCAACAGCCTTTCTCCTTGTGATGACAGAACACATGAAGCTCCTTCACTTGTCGACGGACGTGTTTGTTCAGAACGGTACTCCAGTCAGGAGACTTGCAGAGTGGACATGGTCCTCCCTCTCCCTGTATTCTGGTGGCAGACTCCTCTGAGAGATGTTTACCACAGCATGACGTGAGGTGAGGCTGGAGCAGTAGACCCAACGTCACTGGACAGAAGAAATCCTCTGAGGCTTCTCAAGAAGGGGTAATCCTCTTCTGGTGAGAGACGGGCTTTTTTTGTCTTGGGTCTGGATGGATGGTATAGTTGTAATGGAGTTCGACATTCATCACTAGGTATAGTAACATACTGAGGAGGTGATTTCTCAACAGAAGCAGCGGCACCACCAGCTGAAGGTCCAGGACCAGGTGACGAGACTGCTGCTGACTTCTGCCATACAGACATGGAGATCTCAGGTAACAAGGAGTTATTATACAACACACAATCTCACCTGAGGAGGTGGATAAACCTTGACTCCTGCAATTTGAAGGCTAACGGCAGTATACTTCTTGAGGATGTGGTGAGGGATGTCTTCTCTCAGTTTCTTGACAATGGACTCTGGTATGAACCAGGTGATGATGAAAGAGCCGGGAAGGATTTTACCCAACAGCATGGCACAGTCTCGAAGCTTATAGTGATAGGCAAACTCTTGTCGAAACTGTTCCACAACTTCCAGTGTAACTTCGTGCGGCCAGTCAAACTCGGCGACCATCTGTTCGAAACCTTCTGGAGGCTTCTTTTGCCTCCTCTTCTGACACTGGCAGAACAGAGCTAGTGGTGTCTTCTGGCGGAACCTCTGCAGATCTAACTTGTAGGCCTCCATATCCCTCCCCACCTCCAAACCAAACTCCTTGATCAGGTAGTCCAGCAACTGGTAGGACAGGTAGTTCCACTGAAGTAGGCTCAACTTTCCAATCAGCTCTGGGATATCTGCTGACTGGTAGAGATCGCTCAAATTGTCTTTCAGGAACAGTTCATGTTCCTCAATGTCATCTGCAGGCATTGACGTGAGAGCGTCAACAACTTGCTTGACAGAAATCTTGAGTTTCTCGAGGCACCCCCTGGCAGCCTTCTTCAGGTCATTGAACCTCTTCTCAAACCTTCTAATCTTGGCCTGGACATACTGAGTGGTCATTGGACCTGTTGGACAGACCATGGTCACATAGAGTTATGGCACAGTGGCAAATATCCCAGACAGGTGTGGAGCATACGTACTAGGCTGAGGTGACTCTGGTCGATGCTGGAGTTCAGTCACTGTATCCCCAGTTGCTGGAGATGAAGGAATAGACACTTTTTTATGAAGCATTTTACACTCATAGTGTGTATAATTATAATACTTTGGAGTCAATGTACATTAACTGGCACTCTATCAAGATTCATTGTTTCCTTAAATGTATAAAGCATGCAAACTTTATTCATTACTACCATTACAAAAATTAAGTCTTTAGAGTGGGTGTGTGTTCAACTGATATACTTGTTTGCATGGCCATCACCACAATTGCTGGGTCCCATGGCAGCTGCCATAAGGGTACTGACAATAGGGCTGGAAAGATAACAGTCATGTTCCTCATTGTGAGCTTATAACAGTGGAACCTCTTAATAAGAGATATATACCTTGGTACACACGCCGCTGTCAATTCGGAGTTTGTCCCTTATTGGGAGGTTCGTGTCAAAACTGTCATTTTATGCACTTTCACAGCATCAATGGTGCATACTGTTGTAATGAAAATGATCCTGAGTGCTCTGTTTCAAACTAGAAACATAGTTCTCCTACTACAGGAGTCCAAATGACTTGATAAACATTATACCCTCTGATAAAGGAGTCAAACTCTGCTGCAGAAAGTTGAAGCGATGAACTGGTGGCGATGTTAGTCTCGCAGCAGACACTTTGCTTAGTTGTGAATTCGCGCTCGTTCACACGTGGGCGGGACTGGCGCGTGTCTAAGGTAGGTGTGCGATAGTTAGAGTATCCGTTATAAAGAGGTGTTAGCGAGTGCTTCGGTATTATCCATGTGATTTTAGCTTGGCTTATGATAATGATGCACGTGATGTGACTGGCAGAGAATCGAGCATTACAAATTGTCCGGAGTGGCCCTGCTACACTTGTTAACAGCTGCAGTAGTGGACTAACTGGGTTGTGGTAGGTCTGATTGATAGTCGACTTCAGTGAACACTGAGGCTCCAGAACCTGTGGAAACATGGAGTATTCAAACAAGCATGTCTTGTAGAAATATGTACTATTATGCTCAGAGCCAACACAGTCTAAACCTGTATAAAGCTAGGTGAGTTGTTACCATGGAGAGGTGAGGAGAGGCCTGGTTGAGTGGAGGTGGCCGGACTCTGAGAGGAAGATACTGAAGCAGAGAGAGAGAGACAGTAATGGAAACTGAAGAGAAGAATCTCAAACACTCATACCACTGGCTGCAGGTAGCTGTGGTGTAGTGTCAGGAAACTGAGCTGCCTCCACAGCCATTGCTAGCTGAGGAAGACTGACTGCAGGACTTTTGAGGGCATCTACAATGACTCTCCAGGTTGGTCTTGGCTCTACTTGGTTCAGAAACTCCAACACGATCTCAAGAAGGCGTTTGCGCGGCTCGGAAACGGTTGCGTGGATGCTCTTTACATCGTGTGGCTTTAGATTCAGCCTCAAGCCCAGTTCGTAGGACTGGTTCTGTGCTGGTAGTAGCTCCTCCAGCACTTTTACGGCATCGTTTGGTGTCAGGACCTCTCCACCAGTCCGCGGCGTCGTTGCTGCGATTGGGATAAGGTTATGTTAGCGATCAAGGCCACTCTAGATTATTTGCCAATTACCTTCGGCCATTACTACGTAGCTAGCAAAATCTTTGATCAAATCTCTGCAGGGTAGGTGGCACATACGCAGCACGGTCGAGGGACGGGCAGGGCTGGTTACGCCTCCAAAATAGCTCCACCCACTCTTTGGCAAGCTCGTACGCGCGCGCTGTTGCCCCAGCGCTGGCACCGCTTTTAACGCTTGGTGGTTCTGAAGCGGTATATTATACCGGCGATATCCCCGAAGCTGTTTACTCTAGCACCCGAGGGCGGAGCCCGAGGGGGGGTAGCTGAGGGGATATCCGGTTATATACCGCTGAAGGTAACCCGGCGGTAACCAATTTGTAGCCTAGCAACCATATGACGTCATCAACATTTTGCCAGGGTTGTGAGAGAAATCGGTGGGCGAGACGAAGGAAAGGAGGCCGAGAGCATGCTTGCGTGAGCCCATGCTGCCTGTTGACCGTTTGTTCGAGCGAGTAGCGGATCATTTGGCAAAAACGGCACCTCGGATTTAGCGCATGGAAATGAGTGGGCGTGGCATCGGAAGTCACGTAGTGTATGGGAGTGACACCGGAAGTCATTATGCGCCCCAGTTATAGAAGAACCTCACTCACACGGGGTAGGCGTGGCCAGTAGAGTCATTCGCAAGGGCTATTGCTGCTTCTGGGTCAAGCCTGAGCCAGGCCAACCTGTAACCCATGAACCAAACCTTCCCCTCGTGCCAAAAGGAGGTATAGGAGGTATATATAGTTGCCCGTAAGTTTAGTAAATTGAGATACACGTACGAATTTCCCGCCAAGCCCGCCAACGAAACTGCGCATGCCTTCACCAGCCCCACCCACCATGCATGATGACTTCCGGTGTCACTCCCATACACCACGTGACTTCCGATGCGAACATGGCGAACAATGTTAAGATTCGCCCTTATTACGTGGGCGTCGATATTTTAGTCAATAGCATGGCTAAAACGCTCGTGAATTATAGTGAGTTTTGGTATATACTTGTCTCGGATTATTATTCACTCCTTGTTTTACAAGATCATTAGCATATTCATATTCCTTCTCCATACATTCTCTATGGGAGAGAAAATTCACTGGAAGCGAACGGTTCCTCGCCATTATGCGCAGTAGCGTTCTTTCTGCCTCCTACGATACGCGCAGGCGTACCAGCCAGTTTCAAAAATGGGTGAAGCCTTTTGTTTTGCCTTTTTTCTGGTTTGTATTATTCCCATGTTTATTATGTTTCGTACTTCTGGAAAAAAATCACATTGAAAAAAATGGGTGTGGCCACGTTTTGAGAACTTTGCCACGCAGGGGCTACGCCCATTTTTCTGAATAGGCCGCCTCCGCGTACCGTAGGAGGCGGAGAAAACCACTGCGCACAATTGTATAGTGGAGACTATGGGGCTGGGAGATTAGCGTAAAAATGATAGTCGCACTACGCACATTTGACACATTTTTATTTTGGGTACCCAGTTTTCATTTGGGTACACACACTTTGTGCCCACCCAAATGAAAACTGGGTACCCAAATAAAAAAGGGGTGTGTACAAGAATGAGAACTGGGTAGCTACCCTAATAAATAGAGTGTCTGTACCCAATGAAAACTGGGTACCCAAAATAAAACGTGTGTACCCAAATGTACGTAGTGCGACTATCTTATTTAATGGACGTTGGTGTGCGTAATTTTGACACTAATCTCCCACCATAGGAGACGGACCGTTCGCTCCCGGTGAAGTCGCGCACTGGTTTTCTCTCCAATAGAGAATGTATAGAGGATGAATATGAATTATGCTAATGAGCTTGTAAAACAAAGAGTGAAAAATTCGAGACAGGTACATAAATTCACTATAATTCACTAGCGTTATAGCCATGCTATTGAAATATTGTCGCCCACGCAATAAGGGCGAATCTTAAGCTTTTTGGCAGCTCAATTGATTCCTACAAATGTTGTTGTGGTGTTATAACAACCAAATGTCTTATTTTTTTATCCAAAGAGTGATGTTGGCAAGACACATGCATGGCTGCTATTACAGAAAGGAAACTTTCTACGTCCTCAACTTGCAAAAATGAGACGTGTTACTTGTAGTTTTTCCATAGTTGTTCTAAATCATTATTGGTCACGAGGAATGCAAAGAAACTAGCCAACTGACCTGCCCTGGGCATGTTACAAAGATTGAGGAGATGTACCATTTGGGCAAATTGGTAGCTGCATGCAACGTCACTTCTCTACTCCAGCAGCTTATTCGTGATCATCCTGCATCCTGTTTCTTTGTAAATCCCAACCCCACCCCAGCCATCCCGCGGACTACTCTGAGTCACTTTTATAATTATACCCCCGCCAAGTTAATATTCTGTTGATGTTATAGTTGATGCCTGTATTCATTGTTCAGATTCTGTGTTTGTGTATGGTAAGTCAATTCATAATCGTTTTAAGTCTGGTATATCACTAATCTTTGCCTCCCTTGTAACCTCTTGTAAACCAAGGGCAATGAATTTCGGTAGATTTTTTGCAGCCCTCTGGAAACCTCGAACCGCCAGGAAAGCAACCGCAATTACAGTTCCAGCAGTTGTTGCTCAAGCGGTGAATTGGTGGAGGTACTGAATGTTAATTGTGAAATTCATCATTCACCGCTAAGTTTTACAGAAGTTAGCTACAGGCTCAGAGCAGTTGTGATTCAATGAACTAAGAGTTCAGCTTTGATATCAGTCACTCTCGAAACACCTGCAGAATTGTAGAACAATCAGTGGTTATGATAGTATATCGTTATACCTGATAGCACCATGGCAGATTTTAATTCCTCCCTCAGGATCTCTAAAACTCTTCCAACTCCTTCCTGCCCCTTGTAGGCGAGGCCCCAGAGGACTGGTCTTCCAATGAACACTGCCCTGGCCCCCATAGCCAGAGCCTTCAGCACGTCAGTTCCCCGCCTCACTCCTCCATCCATGTACACCTCTACACGGCCCTCTACTGCTCTCACCACTTCACCCAGGGCATCAATCTTTGCAGATGGAAAAAATCAGTGGTACTGACAAGGAAAATAGTTTTAGCTAGTTGCGCATAGAGAAAAGGAAATGCCACTGACTGATGCGAGAACTCCGTCCAGCTGCCTCCCTCCGTGGTTGGAGACTATGATCCCCTGGACTCCATGTCTCACTGCCTCCACTGCATCCTCTGCTGTCAGAATCCCCTTCAGCACTACCGGCAGTTTAGTAAGACCCTTTACCCAGTCCACCTCTTCCCAGGTCACGCTGGAGTCAATCAGGTTTCTAACCTTCTCCTTGTTTATTGGGCCACTTAGACCGATATCGGGGAAAGATATATGAGGTGGGAGACTTGCCGACTTGTAACTGTCTGGTCCTATTACAGGCTGGTCTACAGTCAGCACAATTGCCTTGAAGCCAACTCTCTCGGCTTGTGTAATGAGGCTCCTGGTGAGCTCCCTGTCTCTGAAGATGTAGAGCTGTAGCCACTGTAGGCCAGGGCTGCCTGCCTCTGCCACTTCCTCCATAGCAGTGGTGGAGAACGAACCCAGTACCATGCATGTTTTGTACTTTGTAGCAGCTAGTAAACAAATAAGTTCCCTTTATTTATACTCCCACAAAAATGTCTCTATATAGTTGGTGACTAGACGATATCCTATTCACATAACGCCGTGAGGTTGCATGCGCGCTTGAGATGTAAAAATATTTCAACCGCATATGCTATATAGGCCCGAGTATCACTTACTGATTTGATTCATGACTATACCTCTGGCAGTGGCCAATTCTCCATCATCGTGAGCCAACTTGTGCATTGCAGTGACGCCAACACACACCGGGAAATCAATGGTGTTCCCCAAGATTGAAGTTCTCGTATCTGCCGCAGATACATCTCTCAACACACGCGGCCGGAGACGATACCTTTGAAGTAATACACTATAGACCTCAATAAGCTTACACCATGTCTGAAACGCCTACCTTAGAAATGCGGCCTCGTTGTCCTTCATCGTCTGCTGCAGGCCTGCTCCACTGGAATAGTAACTCCATGCGTCGCTGCTAAGACTTTGTTGAGCAAATTGTTCAAAATCCGACAAAGAAAACATCCTAAAATTCTAGCTATCCCACGAAACACAAGCAGTATAATATAATTGGGCATAAAACGATGAGCTACGCGCGACACCGAGGTTGTCCAAGTTATGCTGATAGCCAATCACAATGCTGAATTTCTGATGCGTCATTCCACACTAATTACTAATTGTGTAAACTTTGGAAGCCAGACAATTTGCACTCCGCCTAGCGCTAGATGTAATAGTTAAGGTACGGAAGTCAGTGCTGTGCGCGTAATAATGGTACGACGAGGGGCGTGGTCGAGATAGTCATACTGCACGAGGCGCAGCCGAGTGCTATCGAGACCACGTTCCGAGTACAATTATCACGCGCACAGCACGTGCTTCCATACATTAAGGTATGCGTGGGCGATTCAAAAGGCGGCGACCGGGAAAACCGGTGTTTTGCACGTTCAGAACGGAAGAGAGGACGAGAAGCTCGCGGAGCGCCCTTCCAGCGGGGGTTTGTGTCACCGTCTAAGTCGAACTCTGTCTACGAAAAGGCCGCCGAGGGCGTCATTCCCGCAAGCGTATATACCCTAGTCCGCGTGATATAGTTAAAAAACTGTTATGTATGTTGAATATAGTACTGGCTGCGCCTTTGATTCGCCCACGCAAAATTAAATAAGGTGTGATAAGGACTTCCTGTCCACCGGTGCAACCCGCAGCCCACAGCTCAGAATACACACAGTGTATAATATTCCTGGCACCGGGTTGTGTGAAGTTGGACTACAAAGATGAATAACACAGCTGAAGCCTACGACCACGTTCAGCAGCGCTATCAGGGCAAGAACGGCGTGGAACTCATTGACAAGCTGGCCCTGCGACAAGGCAATGTCGTGCTGGACCTGGGATGTGGTACTGGGTACCTGTCCAGTGTCCTTGCCGAGCGAGTCGGGCCCCTGGGAAGAGTCGTTGGTGTCGACCCCAATAAGAAGAGGCTCCATGTTGCAAATGAAAAATACGGGCATGTCGAAAACTTGCACTTTGTATTTGGTAGCAGCACAAATTTTCCGAGCGGACCGTACGATGTTATCTTCGCTAATCAGGTAATGCAATGGATCGAGGACAAGGAATCTGCTTTTAAATATGTTTATCAGAATCTGAAAGTCGGTGGAACATTTGCGTTTTTATGTCCAGCTGATCCTGCAAACAGAATCTTAGAACTTCTCAATCCAACCGTTTCAGAGTCACTGTTTTACTGCAGCTGCGAGGAGTACGAAAGTCTCGCTCTCGTGTGTGACTTTGAGGTAGAGCATAAGTCGATAGAAACTGTGACTCACAAGTTTGAGAACGTGGATAAGTACATTACGTGGGCTTTAGCTACAATGGACGTTGATCCTCTGCAAATAGATCCTGAAACCATGTATGATGTGAAGAAGAGGATTGAAGTGCCAGAGCTCAAATGGAAGAAAATTCAGTTCATTTTGAAATACAAACACTGAATAGTAGGTATAAAAAGTGACATTCAGATTGCTTGAAGGTTATGTGCACATGCGGACGCGCGTTTTTTTGCCAGTGCTTGGCGGTTAAGCGCGCATCTGGCGTATTCACGTAAGACTTGGTCTTCAGACACAAAACATTGCAAGCACACAAAACCTAGCTAATATTATTATAGCCTGCACTGAGTAGCTATCGGCGAATCTGCCTTGCTGAGGCCAATAGTGCTCGCCGGCGTTATTAGCTCTACTGACGTGTGGGTCTCAGGCTAGAGTACTCGTCCATTGCATGCAGCATCGGAGTATGAAACATTAGCGCGCTCTGATCCCACGCTGCTGCCAATAAACGGCGCCAAAGGGTGAGAGTGGGTGTGCATGGGTGTTTGTATAATGGTGGGTGGTTGCAGAGATGTCGAGTGATCATGGGCCCTCTAATAGTCTTGTGTTCAATGGCGATATCGAGTTTAGAAGATTGTACAAGGATCTCTATCCCGCTGCCACCAAATGGGAAAAGATTGGGATACAGCTTGGCTGTCCTCCAGGAGCAACTGGACTTGATCGAGAGGAAACCAAGTAACAGAGACGATTCTGATTATCTTCGTGATATGTTGCACTATAGACAGAGTAGAACTGAGCTCACGTGGGAGGTTATTTACAGGGCTTTGCTGTCTAGCATTGTAGGAGAGTCTAAATTGGCCAAGAGAATAGCGTGGGCCCACTTCCTCATACTTATTAACCCTCGGCCCGCATGCGCAACGAGGGTTACTGTAGTCTTTCTGTGTGTCTGTCTGTCTGTCTACGACTATTCTCGCACTGCAGGCAACGAGGCGGCTTATGAGCGATACCAACAGCTTTATCGGTACAGGGGCAAGAAAATAAAATTGCGATTTTGCTGAAACGACTGCGTTCGAGAGCGACAAACTGGCACGGTCGCGGACAGCGTTGCGTGGCCCAACTCATCAATAAGCGGTGCGCATGCTGTATTAGACGCGAACGACGCAGTATGCTGGCTCACCTCGACCTGATCCGCTTGCTCTGTGTACCTTGGAGGCACATGAAGCCACAGTGAAGGGTGTGTATCGACTCCCGCATGCTATCTACTACCGTAGATAGTCCGTGTCAGACTCTCCGCGAGCTACTAGCGGGAGACCGCGCCAATAGCCGAGGGTTTGCACTTTAGTGCTTTTGTATTTTTCAGTAGTGTAACGTGACAGACTTTCGATGGGCGGGCGTTCTGTCTATTTACCTCTTTGAACATCCCAGTGTTGCCTGCTCTAGATCTCGTAATCGTCACTGAAAAAGACGAGCCTCTCGGTGGTGAGGACTTTCGACGGCCGGGCTGTTTACCTCTTTGAAAAGAAGTATATAGTATCGTTGATGGACGTGAACTGAACCCCCGACCACCAATTGAAGCGCGTTATATCGGCGCATGCGCATAACTGCGACGGACGGTGCGTCATAGACCCGACGCAACCACTAGGATGGCTCGCTCCGTTCGCCCAATAACCACAATGTCACGTCATCTGCATCAGCATCGTTCCCTATCCTGCATACGCTAATGACAACTGGGCCTGGCATACGGATTAATTAAACTCGCTATCTCCTAAGTTGCTGCGCTGAACTTCCCACAGAATGTTTCCCGCGATGCCGGAGGTGTGCATTGTCTTGGGGCGATCTTTGTTCTCGGGGCGCCTATCCCTACGAAGAATTACTAATGCACAGACAGAAAACGACGCCATTTTCACGGTTGGCAGCGCGCGAGTTGTCCAGACCCGGCCCCACCCCACCTGAGCGCTACGCACGTACGCGCGGCAAGATTATAAGACTGCGTCGTCGCAGGGCGCCCCTCACTCTCCCCTGTTGAGCTCTGTATGGCCGTTGTTTGTGCCAGCGATTCTTTACGACGTTCGCCCCGGTTTGCCATTCCTTTGGGATCAAGTGTAGAGAACGGACCCAGCGCGCAACGAGCCGCACAAGTGACCGCGCCCCCACGCACCGTAGGCCACGCCCCCTAAAACATTGCTCACGCACGAAACTTTTGAATCCCCAGGCTAAAACGTCCAATGGTAAGCCTAGCGGCATCAGACTTTACGGCGGGTTGGCTGCATCCTCTCCCTTTCACGCGCTCTGGGAGCTGACGCTGATCAGAAGATCGCTTGGTTCCAGACCAAGGCCCTTAGAATGGCTTCATTTCTCGAAACAACAGGCCATGAACATGTGGTAGCAAGATGTCAGGCCCTTGGTCTGGAACCAAGCTCCCAGAGCGCGTGAAGCAATGTTTTAGGGGGCGTGGCCTATGGCGCGTGACATGTGCATGGGGGCGCGGTCACTTGTGCGGCTTCCGGGAGTCGTTGCGCGCTTGGTCCGTTCTCTACACTTGATCCCTCTTATGTTCCCAAGTCTGGTTATCCCTCTCGGATTTTCCATCAACCACAAGTTTTTTTTGGGACTGCATCCTTGTGTTTGGTAAGAGCTACTGAAAACTATGGTATATAGAATTCCACTCACTGCCAATTCTCTTTCCAGGTTCCACAAGGTAGCCCGTCCATTGCGTTGTTCTTTTACTGGCCCCCAGTCCTGCAGCTACTAACTTGGAGTCGTGGAATTGGGGCGACAGCTACTGATTTCTGTGCAGTCAAGGTAGGCTCTGCATTACAATGTCTCAATTTCCTCATTGCCTTTAATTCCCCCATAGGTGTTTATTTCGAGGTGCCCAACAGGACACGACACTCCCTCCGTGCCTAGGTGTACCCACTGGCCCTGCTGCACTTCCCTGGAGTTCGTGCTGCATCTCGCCCGAAGACACCTGGGCTTTAACTATCTTTGAGATAAGTTAAAATTGTGCTCTTTGAAAAATGCCTTACCACTCCCAACGAAGAAAGAGGGCCTATTTCAAAAACTATTATGTGAATAATTCGGAGAATA